GGCAGGCGGCCGTAAGGGGCCCAGGCACCGGACGGGACAGGGCGGGCAGGCGGCCGTGAGGAGCTCTGGCGGGTCGCTGCTATATCCCCGCCGCCGTCTCCCTGCAGCGCCGTGCCCGGAGCGGGGCCGGAGGGGCCGCCGAGAAGCCGCGCCGCCGCGCCGGGGCTGTTGGAGTGCCGTCGCTGCCGGTACCTGCGCACGGCCAGGGGTGAGCGGGGCGGGAGGGGGCTGCGGGGCCGCCGCCGTGGCTCGGGAGCCGCTTCCTTCGTCCCGCTGGAGCAGACTGCCCGGCGCAGCTTCCCGTCCCGGGGAGCGGCCCCTTCCTGGCCGCCGGAGCCGCTCGGGCTCGATGGCCCTCCGCTCCGGCCGCAGACCCACCTTCGCCCTTCCCCTTGCAGCCTGCTGCCAGATGGTGGGAGCGCTACTCGCCGCGCTGATCCTGGTCTGCAGCTCCGTCTCCTACGGCTCCTCGGGAGGCTACACGGGCCTTCCCAGCCTGGGGGGCATTTACTACTACCAGTACGGCGGGGCTTACAGTGGCTTTAGCGGAGCAGACGGGGAGAAAGCCCAGCAGCTTGACCAGCGTTTCTACCTACTAAAGCTGCCAATTGCGAGGGCAGCAATGGCCGTGGGAGGGTGTCTCCTGGTCTTGTCTTGCGTTCTTATTGTGGTTGGTGTTCTACGGTTACCATGGCATTTCCCAGCATGGCTCCTACTTGAATGTGTCCTGGACACAGTGATTGCAATTGGCATGGTGCCTGCTCTGTACTATTTCTTCCATTTTCTGCTGGAGGCTTATAATTCATCAGTGTGCAAAGAGAGAGAGCAGCTTTATCAAAGCAAAGGCTATCAGGGCTTCAGCTGCAGCCTGCATGGGGCGGAGATTGCTGCTGGCCTCTCGGGCTGCGCAGCTGTCATGGCATACCTGCTTAGCGCAGGCCTAGCTGCCAGAGGGTACAGAACAGTCCACAGACTGAAACAGAAGCCAGTACAATTACATGCGCATTAGAATGATTCCTCTGCTCTGGTAATGGTCATGATTTTTACCAGCCTCCTTACTGAGACAAAGCAGTATGCTTTTCCTTGTTTCTGGACGGTGCATCCGTAATGCTGTAGCAGAATGCACGCTGAGACAGTATAGCTCTAAATACAGCAGAGTCAAGCTGTTCCTAACCTTAATTTGCATTATCGAATTATTAGTGGACACAAAGTTAGTCCGATGGCTTGTCTTCATCTGGTGGCTGTCTCTTAGTAGAGAATGACTGTCCTTGTGTTGTTGACTAGCAAGCTGCCTGTTTCACAGGTAGCCTTTCCCTCCCCTCCATCAGGTGTCTTGTTCTCCTCCAGTGAGGTCTTGGTATGAGTACTGCTACTACATATTTCTGCTGACAGCTTTCTGTAGCTGAAACTGTCTCTACAAAGGGCATGTGACTGTTCACCAAGAACAGAACTCTTAAAAATGAGTGACTGAGGCTCATGGCTCTGGCAGCTAATTATTGCTTTCTTGTAGGTCTCTTGGAACTAACAGGGCAGTTTGAACATGATGTTTATAGAGCCATCAGAGAATCCTGAAATAAACTTGCAAAATGGTGAATACACTCAGCCTAATTTGCAACACTGCATTTTCAGACTCTCCTGGAGAGGGCACATTTTTGTATGAAATGGTCTTTTATATAACTTGTATACAACAGTTTTGCTTAAAAAGATGCCCTGATTTGGGATAATCAGACAAAAGCTTTAAGAGCTGAAACAGGTGGTTTAAGATAAAAGTGTATTGTTTTCAAAATACATTTTTAATGTACAAGTTGGGGAACTGAGATGCTGCTCTTGTATTATTTATTAAAAAAAGGTGAAATTTACTTAAAAAAAAAAACTTTTGTAAGAAATTTAACAGGGAAAAGAAACATAGCAGTAGATTCACAAAATCATGCCTCAGAATGAAGTGTCACTTCACAGCAGTGCCCACTATGTGCACTGTCCATGCGAAGATGGAACCACCACTGGTCTCACAGACCAGTTCTGCCCATGTTAAAAAAACCCAAAAACCCAAACACCAAACTAAACATACCAGAAATGTGGTTTGTCTTGGATGTATCTCCAGTTTCACTGGTACCAGTGACTAAATCTTCACAATTGCCGAAACCATGGAACACTGTTGGAACTAGAGATATGAAAGTAAAACAAATGCAAAATAGGAACACACCAGGTACTCTGGGGTTTGTTTGGTTTCTCTTCCCTTTTAGTAGCTAGATGGATTGAGTGTCTCAGTGCAGGGATTTATGTGGACAGTCCACTGTGGTCCTCTTTCTTTTAATGATTCTGTATTTCCTGCTTGCTACAGCTACTTTTAGAGAGCTGTACAGTACTATTTAGAGCAAGTTCACAGGATTCCTCTGGTAGGATACAGAAAACTGCCTAATAATTGGTATTATGAATTTCACCCTCACAGTGTTCTGCAAGTAGCTTTTGTATGGAAGGCTGATGAGTGAAGTAGCACACAGAGCTCAGTAAAAGACAACATAGAGCACAGCTGCTGCTAGCCACAGCTATGTTTGACTGGGATATTGCACAAATCCCCTCCAGCGCAGTAACGGAATCAGAATATATAGTTAGATGAAAGTAAAAATCTTTATTGCTAAGTCAGCTGAAAAGTTGATGCAAAAATATTCTTCCTTCCTGGACTGCTCTATACATCTGAACAAAGAATCAATGGAATAGTGTTCTCCAGTAATCTTATGTTATTTGCCTCTCCAAAGCAATACAAACACAGGCCGCAGTGCTGAAGGTACATTAATTGGACAGCCTACTCCCATACACAATAAAAATGGATTATTATAGGTGCATGCTAGAGTGGGATACAGAAAATATTATTCTTTTTAAAACAAAAAACATGAAAAATGATTATTTAATAAACAGTGCGCTGCAGTATTTCTTTAACATGCACTGGGTCATTTGAGTCAAGTTAAAAAAAAGGCAACATTTTAAAATGTGAAAAGAGAGGAAAAAAATACACTTGAGTCTTCAGACAGCAACGGAACAGCAGACAATGACTGCACAAAACCAAAGAGGTGAACCTACTGCCTAAATAAGGCCTTTGGCAAGTGACACAAAAGCCATCACCATCGGGAAGGAGTGCAGAAACTCCTGAAGTCCAAGGGCCTTAGGTGTGGCTGAATGTCCTGTGTACTAGCAGAAGGATTTGGGGCCTCACAGCAGCCTGTCGCCTGAGAAAGGGAAATACTTGCTCCTCCTTGGAACAGGATTTTACCCTCCCATCTAGTTGAGGATTGTGATGAGGTCCCAGCAATCTGTGGTGCTGCCTCTACCAGGCCTGTTCCTGGTGCTGGGAGCAACCCAGAGGCTATCCCTTATCCTTAATACTTGGGCCCCACTATTTGTCACTGAATATAACCTTTATGGGTTCCTTTTTGGAAGCTTTCTGGACTGGAGAGGGCAGACAGGTCACCACCTTTAGTGTACCTGTTCTCAGTGAGCATGCTCATCAGCAGAGCTAGAATTACTGAAGAGATGGACAAACCAACTCACCAGCCTAACTTGATTGTGGCTGCATGGAGCACTGCAAGCCCGGCATTGCTCAGCAGGGACAAGAGAGCCTGATGACCCCAAGATGAGAAACTCTCTCTAACAGCAAGTCTGTTAACCAGTGGGACGTTCTTAGTGATGTGGCTCTGTGGAGATGATGTATCTGTGCAAGAACCACATATAAAAATCAGGGAAGAGACTGGAGAACAGGAAGAGAACTGCAAAAATGCTTTCTATCTTCTCTATGAGTCCTTCGCTAGACTTGCCTGTTCATACATGTTCCAGTGCTCCTAGGGAGCCTGAAATCTAAGGTGGTATTAATAAGTAAGGTGAGGAAGACAAAGAAGCAGCTTGCTGCCTCTGGGGAAGCAGGAAAACAAAAGGTGGTGGTGGAGGGAAGCACTCAGGCTATGCTGCCCAGAGTAAGACAAACAGTTGATAATACCAGCTTAAGCAGAGAAAGCCATGACTCTACCTACTGTAAGAAAACAAGCCATGTTCTGCCATGACAATTCACACCCATAGAAAATAGGAGCTGGCTGTATTAAACTCCCTTTCCGCTTCAAAACCAGAAACAGCACTGGAGAAAAAAATAAAAAGGCTAAGTAGGAATTCCTTGCATGCCATTCTGTCACTACAGCGAAGAGGAGCAGCTCAGGAATCTGCATGCTCCCTTTCACAGCTTTATTTTACTTAGTCCTTCCCCACTGAGCTAGGTAGAGCCATTCATGACTAAATCCTTGTGGCAATGCCCAACTCTCCATGCAATGCTACTGGTTCAGACTGGCAAAGACACACTGGATTTTCCACGTAAGTGCAAGAAATAGAGACCTGATTTGCATTAATATCTGCCACTCTCCTAGTGCAAGGTTTGTCACAGTCTTACTCAGAAAGAAGAGTGTATTTCTGCATCATTCCCATACTGAACAGAGGCTGCTTTGCAGTCCTGTCAGGTATCTGAAAGTGTTGGGCTGGGCACAGATAATTGCTAAATCACCAGTGACAGAATTAAAAGTTACAGTCAAATACATTGGGATGAGCCTTTTCTGCGTACTCATATGAAGAGAACATGAAAGAAGTTTGGGGTTTAGTTTTTGAATCTTTTCTGCTGTTGTTTCTCTGCCTAAGGGATTCAAATGCTGCTGTTTCTGTGATTCTAAGAATTACCTTTTCTCTCCATTTCCAAATGAAACAGGCATTTAAACAGCCAAAATTTGTGAGAGTTTAAACTTTTTCCAAAGTTGGGTTGTTTCATGATTACATTGTAACTAGCACAAGGTATATCCTAAAATGTTGCTCTCTCATGCATGGTAAAAATAAATTTTTTTCCTAGTGAGAAGAAATTGAAGGTGCTTTGAAATCTCAGTAAAACTCCATTAGATTTTGTCAAAAGATCTATATTGACAGAATCCCACAAGTAGTCTGCAAAGTATTTCCTTCTGAGCAAGGCCTGAATTTGATCAAAAAATATACAACTCAAGCCCCTCAGAACTCTTGAGAAGAAACTTTCAAGTTTTCCTCATTAATACAATTAATAAAGAAGAAAAGGCACTAGCCCACATTACAGTCAGGATTATTGCACCACTGACACAACCAGGGCAGCTGCTATCCAGCTTTCTGCCAGCTAAGGAAGACAGATCTGCATGCTACAGGGGCAGTGGTCTTTTCACAACCCTTACACAAGATGATGACATAGGCAGCCAACTTACCCCCTGCACCAAAAATCCTAATGGAAACACAATGCATCTGCTGAGTGCAGACTGGCCAGTTCACCATTAGTGGGACTGTTTTAAACATCTTTCCCAGCGCTGATAAAGATACTAAGGTGAACAGTTCTACTTTTCCTTTTGCATTGAAAACTAAGCAGAAACAAGCATGCTTTCACCTTGTTTGTGGCCAAATTGGGCATGTACCATGAAATGCAGTTTGCTGTGGATTTGGAGTATGACTCCTGTTTTCAGACGCAAGCAAAGATGCTGTAGCTGACAGTGTAGGGGTTTATGTTGGTGTAACAGAGCACTGAACGCTTCCCCAGCATATGAAGGGCAGCCCCACTGCTCACTAGCCTTAGAGCAGCATACCACTGCTTACCACTTGGTTTCCCCTTAGACCGAGTACCTCACTGAAACAAGCACGAGCTCCTGGTTTCATCCCATGTCTTCGGTATACAGGAAGCCTCTACTGTGAAGCATCCATGATGGAGGTGGCCAAATTGCTGCTTAGCTGGGTCTGTGCTCTGCAGCTAGAAGCACTAGCTCTACACATTACCTTAATCAATCAGTCCAGAGCTGATCTTTCCTATGCTCCACATGAAATGCATCAGTAGGCACCTCCTTACCACTCAGCTGTGTATCTTCTCATCCTGCATGGGCTGATCCCATCATAACCCTCACTCTACCCTGCACCAGTGCTCATCAGAACACTGGTACCCTGAGTCCTCCACTGCCCTAACAATATCCATTGTGA